AAAAAAAAAAAAAAAAAAAAAAAAAAAAGGTAATCTGCCTCTGGCTTCCAATTCCACTACCCTGGGGAGGTCTGTGGACTAGTGTACAATTTGGAAAATTTTTATCTTAGTGATATTCAAGTCTATCTTAGAGCTAACCCTCTACTTCCCCCTACTTAATTCCTGCTTTGTGTTTTTGAAGGCATAGATCAGCTGTCACTTGTAAAGCCACAGCCTTTTATTCCTCAGAACTTAAATTTTAGTACTTTTTACATTAGATTCTAAAAGATTTGCTTCATGTCTGTAACTACTCTCCTACACGTGGGAGCTCCTTCAGGAAAAGGCAGGGATTGTGTCTTAGGCCCTAGCCTCTCCAAAGTCAGTGACTAAGACACTGTAGGTACTCAGTAAATGTTAAGAATGAATAAATGGCCTCTCAGTTTCCAGGATGGCATCCACTGTAACTGATACGCTGCGTAAAATGGTCCACATACAACAGATGGTATATGGTGAGAATAATTTTTTCAAAGTTCTCGAAGAAAGTGTCACAGTATTCTTAATTGATGAAAACAGAACAATAACATTGGAATAAATTTTAAAAAATTGATCTAGAACTTCAGTGAGAAAAAGCAGATTTAGTTGAGAGATGAAATGGGCAGCCTAGGGGTTTGGCGAAGACTTGTGGAAGCACATTTGACTATTACTGATGTTAAGTCTGGTAATGATTTTTAAATTTCATCTAGTTTTATGTCATCATGTGGTTTTAATAAATTTATATTTATTCGTAATGTGTCACTAGCATTTCACTTATTTCACTATTATTCTGATCCTTTAAAAAGGTCTCAGACAACTTGGAGTGATTTTTCAGAATCATAATTGGGAGGTAAAAGAGGAAGAACTGAGGAGCAGAGCTTATATCGTATTTCCTGGGTGTGGGACTGAGGGATACTCAGGAGAGAGGTGGTGCTTTGGTTGAAACACTTCTTTCTTTCTTTTTTTTTTTTTTTTAATTTATTTTTTAAAGTTTATTTTTATTTTTGAGAGAGACAAAAACAGCATGAGTAGGGGAGGGACAGAGAGAGAAGGAGAGAGAGAATCCCAAGCAGGCTCTGTGCCATCAGCACAGAGATGTGGGACTTGAACTCAGGAAACCTCAGGAAACCATGAGATCATCACCTGATCCGAAACCAGGAGTCGGAGGCTTGACTGACTGAGCCACCCAGGCGTCCCAAAACACTTCTTTATTATTACCACCAGGTGGCACCACTGGCCCAGGGTGACTAGGTTTCTGCCCAGAATGAGAAGGGAAGGTTTTGAGAGCCCATCGCTGTGGGGGTAACATAGAGGGGTTTGCAGGTGTGTGTGTGTCAGAGGGAGGTACATGTATACCCTTTTCCCCTCTAGTCTAGAGCTTTTGGTAAACTGAATGTGTATAAGGCAGGGAATGAAGTACATGAAGAATTTAAACTTTTATTATCTTATCTGATAATTTTTATTGTTTTTCTTTTTTTCTTTCTATGCCTGTAGTTCCTTCAGAAACAGGTAACATTTTTCTGACAGCCTCTTTGTATTCTTGCATCTTGCTTTTATAATGCTTATGTTTCTTACCATAGAGGGTAATGGAAAATTAATATACTCTCACATGACATTGGAAAAATCTGCATGCAAATTGCCACAGTTGCGATTAGATTATAGACAATTAATTTTCCAAACTTTGCAGAAATCCTGGCTACAACATTTTACTATTTAATACCAACATTGTTTTTTCAAAAATCCAAACATGGGCGCCTGAGTGGCTCACAGTTAGTCAGGTGTCTGACTCTTGATTTTGGGTCAGGTTATGATCTCACAGTTGTGAGATTGAGCCCCGCCATCAAGCTCTGCTCTGTGTGTGAAGCCTGCTTGAGATTCTGTCTCTCCCTTTCCCTCTGCCCCTTTCCTGCTTGCAGCTGTGCACGCATGCACGCACTGTCTCAAAAAATCCAAACATTGAATTTTCAGAATTTACAGTATTAGATATTGTTCACAGTGTAGAATGAAATATCCAGGCCTTGCCTCCTTGTAGCTGATAATAATAGAGTGTTGGCCTGAAATATGGTGTTTATGACCAGGGTTTTCCCCAGTATCCTAACACTATAGCTTCATTTTTGTGCTCTCTACTTCTGTTCATCTTTTTTACATCTTCCTCTAAACTCTTTACTCGTCTTTAAAAAGGGACTTTCTGTGGTGCCTGGGTGGGTTTTGTTTTTTTTTTTTAATGTTTATTTTTGAGGGGGAGAGAGAGAGAGAGAGACCGAGTGTGAACAGGGAAGGGGCAGAAGGAGAGGGAGACAGGATCTGAAGTAGGCTCTAGGCTTTGAGCTGTCTGCACAGAGCCTGACGCAGGGCTCGAACCCATGAACTATGAGATCTTGACCTGAGCCGAAGTTGGATGCTTTACCGACTCTTGAGTTTGGCTCATGTCATGGTCTCCTGATTCGTGAGTTGGAGCCCATGTTGGGATCTGCCCTGACTGTGGGGAGCCTGCTTGGGATTCTCCCTCCCTCTCCCTCTCTCTAGATCTCCCCTGCCCCTGCCCTGCTCACAGGTTCACTCTGTCTCAGATAAACAAACCTTAAATAAAAAAGGACTTTCTTTTGAGGAGGATTTAAAAGCAAGAAATATCAGTATTAAGAGAAACACAACTTTTGTGTTTCCTTTTCCCCCTTTCTGCCTTGAAAGAAAACTGTCATGCTAAGTAACAACATGCGAGTAGTTTACTCCTTTTACATGATCGGTAAACAGAAGATTTAAGATAACAATACAGTATTGAAAAAAATCGGTTACTTGTTAATGGACTCTTAATACAGCCTAAAATTGTGATCAGCAGATTAAAACTTGGTTCAGTGAAGTGTTAGATGCTTGCTTTTCCACATTGGGTCCCTTTTGGTTTTGTGTAGGATAATACTGATAAGAACACATTTATCAATTTGAGGACAGCTTGACTCAGTCCTTGTCTTTCCTGAACACTTTGACAGACACACACGTGCACTTCCATGAGAATAAGTCCATTTATGTGGTTCTGTAAAAATATCTCTTGCTGCTTTGAGCTTTAATTTCTTGAATAAAAAGAGTATCATCTTCAATTCTGGGTTGCCATGTAAGTAAATGCTTTATGCACTGAAGCAGATGCCTTTCAAAAAACTAGTGTAATTAAAACATGAATAGGATCAGCAGTATAAGTTAATAATCGTAATAATCGTATTGCTTACTGCAAAACAGGACATGACTGGCTTGAATTTTCCTGTATTATAGTTTTCTGTTCTGTTTTTGCGAGAAAATAGGGAATTTCAGTAAGTTCAGGAAGTTATGATGTTCTCTTGAAGTTTTACTGGCAAAATTAATTTTTACCAAGAATTCGAGCAACCATAAGGTGATATAGAATATGGCTTGTATCAGGTGAATGTCACGTAAGGCCAAGTTTTTGGGACCATTAGTGTCTTCCATCTGAAGGTGTCATTATGAGGACAGCAGCATTCTCTTAGACCCTCTTAGAGAGCTTTTCCAAGATGCGCTCATCTTCTGGTGGATGCTCTGTCCCACTCCTAAGGCGTGCTGTTGTTGGGATCCCCCCCGTTATGCTCTTAGCTCTTGTAATTGCTAGTAATAGGAGCTACGCTGCTGGAAGAGCTGGCAGCTAAGCCCACAGGTGCAGTTATGCTTTTATTTCCTGGTGTGCACGCACACACACCCATCCATCCCTAGTTTGGGATGAGAGGAGGTAAGAGCTAGTAGTGACACTGGGCTTGTAGTGCCATGCCTAAATTGGCTGGCTCGAATTTCTTTGGAATCACCTTGCCCACTGGGGAGCCAATGACCGTTATAGAAATTGTACCAAATAAAAAAAATCCCTCTGGAATTTTCTCTTTTAAGAGACACCGCTGTTGATACTTCCTTTTCTAACTCCTTGGTGGCAGCTTATAGTAAGGGTGAAGGCGTAGTGACTGGGAGCTAGTATCTTCTAGCAGAAAAGTGTGATTCCCTAGCCCTGTGCTAGGTGATAACCCTGTGGGCCCAGCCATTTAAGCGCAAGCCTGTATCTTCAAAGCATTTCCCCATACTATTGTTGCCCAAGTAGACTTTTACTTACCTGGTCCTAACACCTATCTAGAGAAAAATTTTCTTCACTGGACAGCAGCTACTAGATATTTCCTGTCAGCTGAGCATAGTAATGCTCTCACAAGCTAGTGCTCCTCATTAACATTAGTCAGAGGAGGAGAGAGCACAAAGAGTAAGAAAGTGTTGGTGGGAAGTCCAGGTACATAGGCCTGCCACCTGAACCTTCTGGGGATAGGTGACACTGTGGGGCCTGAATTTTGTAACCGAGTTACAGGGAAAAATGGATTCTGTGAAGGGTTTGGCTTCAGTTACTAACGGCAAGAGTATGTTAGGATATTGCCCTCTGCATGTAGACTTGGATTCAGAAGTTAAAATATCTTCATACGTTTGGCTGCAGCTCTGAGATTGTATCTAATTAATGGATCCATTAAACAAAAATCCTACTTCAGGTTGGATTGATAGAGATCTTCTGGATCACTTCTGAAACACAAAGTACAGTAATTATTTTTAATATAATGACTTGTGTGAATACCTTAAAACATACTTCATATGGCTTAAAATTATTTGGGAACATACCTTCACTGAAAGTTTTTTGAAGATGATGGTATTAGAAGCATTACGTCTCTGAAAGCATACCATTAATGCTATTCTTTCTATTTCATAATTACTTTTCACATACCTCTTTGTTGATAATGTATGTATGTATTAGTGTAGCCTGTTGTCTGGCTCTATGATCTTTCAACTAAGTCCATCTTCTGCAGACGCTTTTACTGACTCTGCTATCAGTGCTAAAGTGAATGGTGAACACAAAGAGAAGGACCTGGAGCCCTGGGATGCAGGTGAACTCACTACCAGTGAAGAACTGGAGGCTTTGGAAAACGACGTAGTAAGTAATATCTTTTTGCTTAGTATCAGACTGTGGTCATGTCATGTGATATGGTGTGACCTCCTATCATTTAGTTTTAATTGAAGTATATTGTCATCATTGTAGTGAAGGTATTTAAAGCAGCAGTTTTTTTGTCTAAACAGAGACTTCTCCCCACACTTAGGAATTATTTCTATGTTTTTAAAGTAAATCATAACAAGCAACTTAGAAATTTAAATTGGGAAGCATGGGAAACTGGAAATACTGGCATGTTTTGCTTTGAAAGCTTTACAGAAGAAGGCAGCCTAAGAAAGGGGTGTCTTAATTGTTGACTTTACCTAGAGGTGAGGTCAAAGTATGACTCTTAGGCTTCTTGTCTGAGGAAGAGGTACTCACTATTGAGATACGTAGTGAGTTTACATAGTTATCTATAGACATTGGGATTAGAAGACTTTAACTTTTTTTTTGAGAGTTTAAGTTTTTTTTTTTTTAATTTTTTTTTTTAAAGTTTATTCATTTTTGAGAGAGAGAGAGAGAGAGAGACAGAGCATGAGCAGGGGAGGGGTAGAGAGAGAGGGAGACACAGAATCCGAAGTAGGCTCCAGGCTCCAAGCTGTCAGCACAGAGCCTGACGCAGGGCTCGAACTCAAAAACCGTGAGATCATGACCTGAGCTGAAGTCGGACGCTCAACCGACTGCGCCACCCAGGTGCCCCATAGTTGTTTTTTTTTAAGTTTTAAGCGCAGAGCCTGACACAGGGCTCAAGCTCATGAACCATGGGATCATGATCTGAGCTGAAATCAAGAGTTGGACACTCAACCACCTGAGCCACCTAGGCGCCCCAGAAGACTTTTACTATTTACTGGATATCCTTCTGCACAGTTTAGATTTTTTATCTGGAACATATACTACTTATGCAGTTTTAAAGCCTCTATATGTAACTGATCTCCAGCCCACATATGTTAGCCTCAAGCAGTTGCTTGATTGGTGGTATTACAGAATAGTCATGCCTGGAGTAGCACAGAAGGACCCAAGATTGATGGGTGCCTTCAGAGGCAAGCTTTAGTATTAAAGTTGCCATCAGAAATACTGGGATGATGCTGTGTCCTCTTTCTGAGATGGATAAGGATTATGCACTCTATTTTGTCCCTTTACACCATTCAGACTTTAAACGTTGAAGGGGTTGCAACATTAGTGAAATGACTATCTAGGCATTAATATTCACTACTGAAGATTCTTGCAGCCTCTGTCCCCAGTTGGTTGATTCTTACAGATTAAAGAATGCAGGCTAGCTTTTGAGAGTGGTAGTTTCCTCATAGAAGTGTAGAGTTATCTACACTGAGGTTACAGGTTAGCATACTGAGCCCTTTGCTCAGGACCCATAGAAGCTGTTAATGTTGAGACCAGTTCTAAAACCCAGCTCTTGTGACTTTGCACAGTGATTGTGTGTTTACTCTCTGATGCTGCTGTCTGTTCGAGCATACCCAGGGAAAAGGGGAGGATGGCCAGGATCTGGTACCATGCTCACACCTTGAATTAGGGATGCAGCAGTGAAAGCTTTGGCTTATTCCCTTCTTCCCCCGAAACTCTGGAAGTATTTTTGGCTATCAGAAAGCATCCTTTATCCCTCGTAGATCTCATGATCAGTCAACTCAAGAAGGTCTCAGGTATTTGCCCTATAGAAAGATGGCTGTTAAGGAGTAGGGAAGGAATTCTGACCTGAATGCTTACGTTTTATGAAGTAACTTGAAATGTTCTAAACTTTTACAAATATTGTCTGAAATAATTGTTTTATATAGTCATTTGCCACTTTGTAAGGCGTGATATATAGAAGAAAAAATTTTTCTTAAAACGTTTTTAAAGAAAGTTTTTGCCTGTTTTTTAATTAGCTAGATTTTGCTGTTATATATGATAGTGTTAATGTAGGATACTAATTGTACTTAAAGAAGAGAAATACTTTGTCATTTTGAAAAATGAACTCTATTTTCTTCTAGTCTAATGGATGGGATCCCAATGATATGTTTCGATATAATGAAGAAAATTATGGTGTAGTGTCTACATATGATAGCAGTTTATCTTCATATACGTAAGTTTAGAAAATTGACTTTTTTAAGCGAATTTGTCTTTGATTTTCATCAGCTTATGTTAGCATGTTGAATAAATAAATATTTGTGTTGGATTTTAGTTTAAACAATTATGTGAAAGAATTAATCCTGTCACTACCTAGGCTGATAAATTCTCATTAAAACGGAATACATTTAGTTTACATATAACCTAATTTTATGCTCTAGATAATTTTTTTTTTAAAGCTGTAAAAACTCTGAATTTGCAAGTATAGATGTTATGGGGCAGTAGTCAATTTAACCAGTTTTGGAAATGTTACATTCCTCTAGGGAAACGTGAAACCGAAAAAAAAGCTAATTTTGATTTATACATAAGTAGATCAGTGTAATTCTTTTATAGTTTTACCCATATTTCAAGCTCTCAACTTTCTTTCTTTTTTTTTTTTTTTTTTTTAAATTTTTTTCAACGTTTATTTATTTTTGGGACAGAGAGAGACAGAGCATGAACGGGGGAGGGGCAGAGAGAGAGGGAGACACAGAATCGGAAACAGGCTCCAGGCTCTGAGCCATCAGCCCAGAGCCTGACGCGGGGCTCAAACTCACGGACCGCGAGATCGTGACCTGGCTGAAGTCGGACGCTTAACCGACTGCGCCACCCAGGCGCCCCTCTCAACTTTCTTAATAGTGTTTTGGGACAGTTCTATAAACTGATTTTAAAATACTCACTTTGCTTTTTCTTTTCCTCACGTTTCAGGGTACCCTTAGAAAGGGATAACTCAGAAGAATTTTTAAAACGAGAAGCCAGGGCAAACCAGTTAGCAGAAGAAATTGAATCAAGTGCCCAGTACAAAGCCCGAGTGGCCCTGGAAAATGATGATAGGAGTGAAGAAGAAAAATACACAGCAGTTCAGAGAAATTCGAGTGAACGTGAGGGCCACGGCATAAACACTAGGTATTTAAAGGAAATCATGATGCAGTATTTTGGATACACAACTCAAGGTCTGTGTGAGAAGGTGTATTATTATTATTATATTTCATCTTCCTTTAATATAGCTTAGGTAGAGAATGCAAGTGGAATTGGTTTAAGATTCTGTTAGGGAAAAGATTATAGTAATTTTGGAAAATATTTTTTGAGCATCGAGCTTTACGAAGCCAAGTGTTGGAAATACAGTGATGAGCAAACCAAGGTTTGGAAGAGCTGCTTAAAACACAGTGATCAGATAGGGGTGGGGGTGCACAGAGCATAGTAACAGATCGCTAGGATTTGCTAGATTAGAGGTGTGTTCAAAGTATTAAGAATATCCAGAGTGAGGATGGCCTACCACGTAACTGTGGAGTCCGAGAACGCGTCACAGAGGAGGTGATGTTTTGTGATAAGATAGTACATGTGTCTGCTGCCCAGAGAGAAGTATGAGAGGGGCATTCCTTGCACGGTGAAAAGACACGTGAAAGAACCTAGCCAGCTGGGGACGAGGCTGGTTATTTTGTACGTCTGGAATACAGGGTGCTGTTGGGGGTGCAGTGTTGGCATCTGGTGATAGGAACTGAGGTAGTGAAGGACTTTGTGTCATGTTAAAGAGCACCCTGTAGGCAGGGGATGGTGTGAATGAACTCTGGGACATTTGAGAGTTGGTTGAAACGGGGAGACAAGTTAGTGTATTGAAATTGTTCAAGTGTGAGAACTTGGTAACCACCTAGGCCAGGGCTGGCGATAGAAAGGTTAGAAAAACCAGTTGACCCTAAGGTTTATTTGATAACTAAGTTGATTGATGTTTGTACTGGTAAAACATAGAGCAAGTGTGAGGGGAGATAGAGTGAGCTTATTTGTTCAATTTATTGCAGTTGAGGGGCTCGCAAGCCTTAGATAGATTTAATTCGTAAACATGTGTTGAGAACCATCTGCTACATACCTGATAGAATAAGATATAAATTCTTGAAGACACAACTTAGAGTCTGAAGATTGGAATTAAAGTGTTGTTCAGTGGGAGATTTTGAGACTGTGGGACTGGCAGTGTGGATTTTAGGATTCGTCAGTATTGCTGGTATTGAATGAAAATCCAATGACTAGCCACAGACCAAGAGGAAACAAAATAGAGAAAGCAAGGACACAGAAAGTTTCAAGAAGACAGACCACATTTGATATCAGAATCCGCCGTCTAGAGGCCAAGTAGGATAAGAATGAATACACTTGTTAAACTTTTTTGCTTAGGAGGAGAATCTGAGAGAAAAGGAAAGGCTAGAGACTAGACCTGAGGGTAACATGGAAGAATAGGGGTATTTGGGAGTGAGGCAGTTTGGTTTAGTGTTTAACCTTTTTATAACAAGCATTCACTTCTGCCTAAATTACTTTTCAATTTGTTTCATTGGCCTGATATCTATTAGGGTAAAATGATTTAGAGGATCTCTCATTTTCAGGGAAAATAAATATATTCCTCCTGGACAAAGAAACAGAGAAGTCATATCCTGGGGAAGTGGGAGACAGAATTCACCGCGTATGGGCCAGCCTGGATCGGGCTCCATGCCGTCAAGATCCACCTCTCACACTTCAGATTTCAACCCGAATTCTGGTTCAGACCAAAGAGTAGTTAATGGAGGCAAGTATTTTGACCAAATTTGTCAATGTCAATGATCAGATACATAGTTTTCTAAGTATTTAAGTTTAGCATAATTGGTAAGAGCATGCACACCTTCAGTGATTTCTGTGGAGTAGTTTTTACTTTAAAACTATTTAAAATTTGCTTTTGTGGATATCAAATTAGTAAAATTTGTATAAGTCTTTGGCATATACCGTATTTAGTATGATGAGATTCTCACATGTTATGATAAAGTGCTAAATTTAGCCAAAGATACTCAGTTGGCCAAAAAACACTCCACGTATAAAGAAATTGGAAACTTTGGGTAGGTTCTCAATTTTTTAAAACCCTGGATGATAAAATGATTTAGACACAGTTTATATGGAAAATCCTAGTCTGTGTGAAACACTCAGTGGTTAATACAGGTTCATTTTCGTAAACTGTTTATACATTTATATTCTGCTTACTTCAAGAAAGGATTTGAGGTAACTTGCTGTACAAGACATGACCAAGAGTCATGTGAAGAAGGTGAAGAAAGAAATGTGCTTAAATAAACGATAAGAACAACTCTTAGTTTAAGGATGGATATTACAGTTTAGCAGAAGTAAAGTGAAGGAGACTTGCATCTTTAGCAAGAAGATATTTTTCCGCTCTACCTCTAAATCCTAGGTTGTGGATCTTCCGTGTGAGTCTGGGATACTGGACAGCAGTGTTTTAGGCCACAGGGAAATACAATAGCAATACTACTTTATTCACCCGGGGAACAAAGTAGACGTTCAGTTTAAGGTATTCAAGTTTGGAAAGCTAAAACGGAAAGTAGAGAACACTGAGTTTCCAATTTCAGTTGTTTCTGTTGAGTCTTTCTCCAGAATTCCTCTCCAAATAAACACTCTTGAGTATTTTCTGTACTTAGTATTGGGGGTGAAATTTCTTTGCTCACTGAGTAAAGAATTTTAGTTGTTTATGAACAGAATTTCCAAGTAAAAAACCTGAAGGGGGCTAGGAAATGTATGATACTCAAGTGTGTGGAACCCTATGGAGAGGAGACCTGGACTGTTTCCTAAGATTAAGGTAAGTGCTGTGTGCTATGTAATGTTACACATTAGCTGTATCTTTACCTGTGCCTGTCCCTCAGTGTCACTTTATTTGGTGATGACTGCTCTGTAGTTGCATTGTTTATTAAGCAGTCTCTTAAATAAGTGTTTACTGCATAAATTATTTAGCAGGTCCCCCTTCTTTTTTCTAATTTGTTAAGATTGGAATGTTTTCTTGAAAAGGCAATGAATATTAACCTTTGTCACTCCTGTGACTCAAAAAATAGTAGTAATGGTTTATTTCTACTTAAAATGGACTTGCTTGATGAGATTTCAAATTGAGTCTTCAAGTATAAACTAGATGAAAATCACAGATGGTTATACAAAAAACAGCATTTTTAATGGGATATAATAGCTGCTGCTTATTTTCATGTTTCAAAAGCTAAAACTAATATAGTAAATAATCTTATTTTCCTGAGTTTTGTGATTTATTGTGTGAAATTATCTAGTTTATGTTATATTCCTTTTAATGATTGATTACTGAGAAACAGTTATAGAACCAGGATTAATAGGCAGAAGGTCTTAACTGTCTTCTTCAATAGTATGTGTAGATCCTAATTAACCCTTTGGGAACGTGTGTTCATTTAAAGAGACTTAATTTTAAGGAGGTTAAAGTAAAATGTGAATTTATGTCAGTTAAGTTATGCTAAAACTTATCACAAATCAAATGACTGTCCTCAAAGGGTTAAAATGTACAAGAAATCATTTTTGTCATTTTACTTTTTTTTCTGTTTACTTTTTTCCCTCATTTTTTTCTTTAGTTTTTATACTTTCCTTCATATCATTTGTTCTGTCAGGTGTTCCCTGGCCATCGCCTTGCCCATCTCCTTCCTCTCGCCCACCTTCTCGCTACCAGTCAGGTCCCAACTCTCTTCCACCTCGGGCAGCCACCCCTACACGGCCGCCCTCCAGGCCCCCCTCGCGGCCATCCAGACCCCCGTCTCACCCCTCTGCTCATGGTTCTCCAGCTCCTGTCTCTACTATGCCTAAACGCATGTCTTCAGAAGGTACAATACCACAATTTGTTCATGTTTTTGTTTGTCTTTGTTTAACTCCTATGTGAGTTTATAATTACAAAATAGTTTCCTCTTCATTATTTAATAACCTATAATTTCCGTGTTTTAACTTTAGTTTATTAAAACTATTTCTATTAACCTTTTGTTCATGAGAAATGTGGTAAATACTGTGTGAAGCAATGAACTGTCCTGGATTGTAAGAATGAGGCTTTAATCTCTGCCTGGTAATGATGCTCTTTTACAGCCCCAGAAGGTCTACTCCAGGTTTCTGTCCCTCTCAATATGCAATGTAAACAGTGGCTAATGATAAACAGTGAACTTTCTTTACCCAGTCTTGGCCTTACTGTAGAAGCTATCATAAAAAATAAAATAATGATAAAAAAGAACCTATTATTTTACAGTTACTTGGCCAGGGTACTAGTGAACCTACCTGTTGGCCATAGGCAGGAATGGTGGTTTAGAGGTCCTTTTTGAGAGGGACAGTCCATGTAGTTGCCTTCGTGTGTTTACTCTTAGATTATAATATGGAGATTGGTCTTATGTTTGGGGGATTTAAGAAAATTAGCGTCATAATATTTTCTAGTGAAAGTCTAATCTGGAAGAAGTCCTTGATCTAAGATAAAGTTGTTAATAAAAACCACGTGCCCTTGTCAAAAACAAAACAAAACAAACCTGTAGTTTTCATGCAATATTTGATGCTATACCCTCTGTTGCTATGTAGCAAATACATGGAGGTATTGTAGGAAGGTCACATTTTAATATAAATGCAGTGCATATGTTAAAGACCTGTTTTCTGAATAACTCCTTTTGATGTTTATTTCAGAGTATTTGTGTTAGAATTTTGATCTGCTTTGTTCATTAAAATCGCAGTTGATACAGTTACTGTTGAGACTAATACAGTTTTCTGGCAGTGCTTCCCTGGAGAAAACTATGTTGGCTGCTTTTTAATAAACTGTTGCCATCTAGGCAAGACGGAGGTCATGGGATCTTGACTAAAGTAGCTAACCTTGAACAGCATGTTGCACTGATTTTCAAGGTGACTTCCTTGCACAAAAGTGCCTGTAATGGTGGCCACTAAACAAGAAGTTAAATTCTATTGAAGTATTTGTTGGGATGCATTGTTTGAGTAAAAACAGGACTCACTAGTGAGTACGTACATCTTCACCACAGTAAATTGTCAGGACTGCTTATGGACTGACTATTCGGGCAGAAGTACACCCTCTGCATATTGAGAGGCTGCTACATTATCCAATTTTTCTTTTTGACTAATTTCAATTAAACTGTTTTCCAGTCATGTAGTTAGATGACACTGAAGCATTTTTAAAGTGTGAACTTCACAAGTAAAACCACTAAATATTAAATACAATGGTTTTGTGTATTTAGTATAGGAGAGTACATTTTGTTTCTGTATTTTATGTATTATCAAAAAGAATGAATTTTTTTGCAAGTTAAGAGTTTGATTTCATTGTGCTATACCAATTAGCTTTCTTGTTCTTTTTCTCTAAATGGGTGTAAAAAATATATATATAGATACACAGTTACCCAATTCGTAATTCAATTTTTTTTATGTAAATCACTTCTCCAGTTGAAAACTATGATATATAACATTAACATTTCTTTTTAACATTGTGTCCATGGGTAAATTCCTACTGAGAACACAAATTTGTTTGACATTCTAAAGAGTTCAACAGCAAGGTGAGGGTGAAGATTGGCTTTGACATCAACAGTGAGTTTTACTGAGTGTTAGCACTGTCTGGCTTCTCTACTGAGAGCAAGTCTGTCTACTGTTTTCACCTGATTGTTTTGTTCCACTGCAGAGTAGACTTTTTAGAAATAGAAATCACAAATGGGTTGACAGAATTAACGACCTAGAATTTTGACAATTTATATAGTGCAAAATTTCTTCTCCAAATGTCAATTATTCTAGTGTTTCATGTCTTTTCAGTAGAATTTTCAGCTCATAGCCTGGTTAAGTATGAGAAACTGCTTACAGGTGAAGACTGCTTTAAGGCATGGCTTGTAAAATTTATTACCATGGCAGAAGAGGTAGATAAACTAAGATTTTATAGAAATTTAAGAAAGGTGTGTAGATATGTTTCCATAGTATAAAAGCATATAGGGATCAGTAGTCTTTTATTTAAATTTTTTTTTTCTGATTTTAGAAGTAATACAGAAAATTTGAGGGGAAAAGCTAAAAATGTGTGGTAAAATAAAACTTAGGTAACCATAACTTCTGTTAACATTTTATTGTTTTTATTTTTATATGCCTACAAGTAATGGATATAGATTAAACAAATTGCCAAAAGTCTTTGAAAAGTTATGACATCTCTTTGATTTCTTATGTCAGCTTCATCCCTCCCTTCCTTTAAAAATAAAGGGAAATAATATAAAATTTATTTATAAAACCTTATGGCATTCCACAAAATAATTCTGAAAGAATATGGCCAAAAATATGTTGTTTTGTTTTTGTTTTTGTTCATTCTTTTATAACCAAGGAGAAAGTAGAGAGAGAGAGGTGTGTGTGTGGTGTGTGTGTGTGTGTGTGTGTGTGTGTATGTGTGTGAGTGAGTGAGTGAATGGGGTATATGTGTTTAGCAGAAAAGTTGTACTGATGGACGTTGTATCATTTATGTGATGTTCACTATTCCTTTCTTAGGGCCTCCGAGGATGTCCCCAAAGGCCCAGCGACACCCTCGAAATCACAGAGTTTCTGCTGGGAGGGGTTCCATTTCCAGTGGCCTAGAATTTGTATCCCATACTCCACCAAGTGAAGCAGCTGCTCCTCCAGCAGCAAGGACCAGTCCTGCGGGGGGCACATGGTCATCAGTGGTCAGCGGGGGTAGGTAACACTTGGCTTGGAACATAATGACAGTGTTCATTTTGTAATTCTGCATGTAAAAAGGGCTCCACCACTCACTATATGTTAGAGCAAAACATGTGATCATTCTGAGTTTCAGTTTTGTCAATGGGTTAATATCTGCCTGTTCTACTTTATGGACTTGTGATAAGATTCATATGAGATTTGTAAGTATGAACATAATTCATAGTTTTATAAAGTACCACTCAAATATAAAGCAAATACAGTATGAGGGACCATATTTCCTATCTTCTTAGCAGTTTTGTCCACAGATTCATTCCACAAACATCTGGGCTCACCGTGCTATGTGTTTCTAAAGTTAAAGAAAATTTTTTTTCTAACGTTTACTTATTTTTGAGAGAGAGAGAGACAGAGAGTATGTGAGCCGAAGAGGGGCAGAGAGAGAGAGGGAGACACAGAATCCAAAGCAGGCTCCAGGCTCCACGCTGTCAGCACAGAGCCCGATGCAGGGCATGAACTCACAAACTGCAAGATCATGACCTTAGCCGAAGTTGGCACTTAACTGACTGAGCCCCGCAGGCGCCTGCTTTGTGTTTTAATAGCATGTGTATATGGCACTAATTTCTGATTGTATTTCCCTTATGAAGAATATCAAACATAACTCAAGGGTCCCAAGTTTTATCTGTGATTAGCCTGAGGAATGTGCTGACAGCAGTTATAAAATTATAAAAAATACACTTTGATAAGAACTTACAGTTAATTTAATGTTTGCTTCCATAACTGTGGAGAGTTAGAGCACACAGTGATAGAGGTTTTTTGTTTTGTTTTTGTTTTTGTTTTTGTTTTTGTTTTTATCATCTATCTTAATCAGCACATAGAATCTTTAAAAGAAAAAAGATCTTGGGGCACCTGGGTGGCTCAATTGGTTGAGCCCCTGACTTCGGCTCAGGTCATGATCTCGCAGTCCGTGAGTTTGGGCCCCTCGTTGGGCTCTGTGCTGACAACCCTTGAGCCTGGATCCTGCTTGATTCTGTGTCTCCCTCTCTCTCTGCCCCTCCCCCACTCGTGCTCTGTCTGTCTCTCTCTCTCTCTCTTTCTCTGTCAAAAATAAACATTTAAATATTTTTAAAAAGAAAAAAGATCTTTATTTTAAAAAAATGTTTTAAGTTTATTTATTTTGAGAGAGACAGCACAAGTGGAGGAGGGGTAAGGGGGAGGGGAGAGAATCCCAAGCAGGTTTCATGCCAACAGCACAGAGTCCAGTGCGGGGCTTGAACTGACAAAACCATAAGATCATGACCTGAGCTGAAACCCAAGAGTCAGATGCTTAACTGAATGAGCCACCCAAGTGCCCCCAAGAAAAAAGATGTTTAAACTTAACCAGAAAGATCTCCAAACTCTGCTGAATGCTTTAGTTGATATATATTGCTCAGAATCATGTATGTATAATTTTATTGTAAATTCCCTTGTACTTCTGTTTTCTTCCTTGATCTTTAAAGAAAACCAAAAGAAATTAGATTTTAGATCTTAGAAATTAGATATTAATTAGGATAATCTAGTTAGAAATTAGATAGTAGTTATTAGAAGGAAATGATTCATTTAACAAGAGAATGGAAGGTCTAGAAACCTGTTTCTTCTGTTGTACCATTAATTATTTGACATTACTTAGAATCTGGAGATGAATTTGAGAGTAACAACATGATTATAGAAGTGAAACAATAAAAACTGTTGTTACATTTATACGCAGAATAGTGTTACAGGTTTGTTTTTTTATACTTATTAGAAAATTGACAGTTGTTGAAGTTTCCTTCCATGATCCTATGACTTCAAAATGTAAAGAACAACTAGAGTGAAGCGAATTGAACCATTTTCCCTAAATCTTTGAATCTGAGTTCTACAAATAAGTTTATAATGGAACAGGAAACTATTAGATGCTTACTTGAGCTCAAGTGGAGTATGAATCCCAGCATGAATTACCTTCCTCTTTTGGCTAAATTGGTTCCCCAATTTTCTTAGTTATTGCAAAGTGGCTGTTGAAGAGGCAAAAAAAGAACATACAGGATTGGCTGCAAGCTGCCAAAAGGTGTTTGAGTTTATTATTTGAAGGAGGAACAAATAAGCCCATTTCTTTGGGACCTCTACCCCATTATTAAAGAGACCTCTCACTTCATCTTAAAAAGTAGTGTTTATCTTGTCTTAGAATTCCAGGATCTAACGTGATTTAAAGTACTTCCTTTTAGAATTAATATATTTACTTACAAGGAAAAACTACATTTGTACTTAGGTATTAATAATTGTTGTCATTCTTCAGATACTTGTGTTCTCAGTCACCACCACGATTCCTTAAGACTTCTGAAAAGAAAACAGAGTGATGGGATAAAGAGTAATTGGGATGGTGGTCAAATTAGGACTATTTTACCTGTATTTTCAAAGAAGCCTCTTTGAGGAAGTGACATTTGAGCTGAGAATTTAACGTATAACTTTTCTCTTTCTTCTAGTTCCAAGATTATCCCCTAAAACTCACAGACCCAGGTCTCCCAGACAGAACAGTATTGGAAATACTCCTCCTGGGCCAGTTCTTGGTTCTCCCCAAGCTGGTATTATTCCAGCTGAAGCTGTTGCTATGCCTGTTCCAGCTGCATCTCCCACGCCTGCCAGTCCTGCATCCAATAGAGCTGTTACCCCATCTATTGAGGGTATGTAAGAAAGGGCTTCCAGCTCCAAAATGTCATTTGTGAGGTTCAGTGTTAGAGTTTAATGTTAATTGTATGAAAAATGCGATGTCCATTCATAGGTATATATTTGAGTATACATTTAAAATTTTACATAAATGGAGTTGTTTAAGTAATACTACTAATTTCATAAATGTTATTCTTGAATGTTAACAGGGCTGACATTCTTGGGTAGTAGCTATTAATATAAATAAACTTACTGGTGTTAGATAGGTCTTCAAAGGAGAAAAGCTTGTGGTTAAATGGAAATGTTTTTTCCCAAAAACTATAGTAAATAAAAATTGTTGAATATTTTCCCATTTTACTTTTTTTTTTTTTTTTTAATGTATTTTTTTTTTTTAGCTAAGGATTCCAGGCTTCAAGATCAGAGGCAGAATTCTCCTGCAGGGAATAAAGAAAATATGAAGCCCAGTGAAACATCACCTAGCTTCTCAAAGACTGAAAATAAAGGTTAGAGCTTTAAAAAGTCTTCCTGTATAACTTGGAAATAGGAAGGATAGTCTGATCTCATGCCAAATACAGATTGTTTTTGGTCAACACTTTTTCTTAGGATTGTGTGTATTTAAATGCATGAATTGACCAATGTCAAAATCTGTGATTAATATATTGAATAAAAGAACTTATTTTCATTTCTAGTATCTCCTCCTAAAAGGATTTTAAGTTAAAGATTTGCAGTAAATCTGTATTTAACTGTTCCACATTTCACAGGTATATCCCCAATTGTTTCTGAACATAGAAAACAGATTGATGACTTAAAGAAGTTTAAGAATGATTTTAGGGTAAGTGTTACTATTGATTAATGAGTTAGGATTTTAATGTCCTAAGAATTTTTATATCCTTCATTTACAAAATATATGCACACCCAGAAACCTCGAATGATGTGTGTAGAAAGCTAAGCATTCTTCAAGTTGTCTTTGCCTATGCTTTTAAGTAGGTAACTAAAATCATGTACTATGATAAGAACTAAACAGATATCAAATGAAAGAGAATATAATTGTGACATTTGAAGCCATCATAACATAAGTTATTATTTGGTGTTCATTTGATTACATTATTCAACGAAGAGTAGAGCAAAGCTGAGGCATTAATTACCTGATGTGGCGAGTGGATGATGGACTGGACCTCAGTGTTCTTAGGTAGTTGCAGATTTATACTTTGTGCACAAATGTATTGTGATAGAAATCTTTCTCTAAAACCATTTTTCTGTCTTCGGTCTTGTTAACATACTCTAATCTCTCCTGGATGACCATTGCATTCTTTTCTACAGCCTTTACCATAGTAATACATTTTGCATTTCAAGTCATATTTTGAGACCAACTCAGGAGGTCATCTTGAAACTTAGCTCCTTAGAGGGAAAAGATCTGATGATTAGCCTCAGAAAAAAATGGCTGTCTTAAGAGATGAATCAATCAGGGGCGCCTGGGTGGCTCAGTCAGTTAAGTGTCCGACTTTGGCTCAGGTCACGATCTCACAGTTCATGGGTTTGAGCCCCACATCCGGCTCTGTGCTGACAGCTCAGAGCCTGGAACCTGTCTCACATTCTGTGTCTCCCTTTGTCTCTGCCTCTCCCCCACTCGTGCTCTGTCCCTCTCTCTCAAAAATAAAAATAATAAAAACATTTTTAAAAAATTACAAAGAGATGAGTCAAATCAAAAGGCAGCCTTTTCCTAGCTTGTGTTGGCTTCCTAAAAATTAATAAATTTTTGCTGATAGCTTAATTTTTACTGTCACCATTCAAAATATTACATATCATATTTTATTACAATTTATTCAGCTTTAATGCTGTTAATAGGTGTGAATTTTAATTTTTTAAGCTATAGTTAATGCATGGACGGGACACCAAGAATTATGACTGAATGCCCAGATATCTGGTTTAGTATGTCATGCCCTCCAACACAATTAAAGCCCTCCTGTGTACTTGGCTGCCTCAGCTGCATCCTCCTGCCAGAGGGAAGGGTTTCTTTCCAGTGCAGTTCTTGATACTGTGTCATTGAGTAGATTCCTGAAGAAGAGAGGATACTATTTTGCATGATCTTCCGTTTGTTATGAATTGAGCTCATGCTATAGGAATTGCCCATTTCCTTAGCATTTTTTACAGTCAGACATTCAGGTCCCTTCTTACTTGAATTTAATTTATTATGTTATGAAGGAAAAAACATTTTTACTTTGGAGCATATGAGTTAGTACATTTCTTGTAGCAGTTATATGGAGGTATAATTTACATGTTACACAATTTAGCCATACAAAGTGTACAATTCAGTGGGTTTTAGCATATTCACAGTTGTACAACCATCACCACACTTAATTTTAGAACATTTTTCTTCGCCCCAAAAAGAAACCCCATAGCTCTTAGCAGTCACTCTTTTGCTTTAAACCCCCACCCCAACCCCCCACCTTTCCCTAGGTCCTGAACAGTTTACTTTCTGTCTCTATACGGTTGCCAGTTGTAGACATTTCATATGAATGGAATCATGTAATATGTGGCCTTTTGTGTCCGGCTTCTTTCACTTGGCGTAATGTTTTCAAAGCTCATCCATGTTGCACCATTTAGAAGTACTTCATTGGTTTTATGGATAAATACTATTCCATTGTATGGATATACCACATTTCATTTATCCATCAGTTGATGTCTCTTTCACTTATTCCCACGTTTTGACTATTATAAATAATGCTGCTATGAACAGTAGTGTAGTTATATTTTCATTTCTCTTGGCTATAGATACCTAAGACTGGAATTCCTGGGTCCTGTGGTAACTCTGTCTTTAGCCTGTGGAGGAAAACTTCCAGACTGTTTGCCAAAGCAACTGTACTGTTTTGCATTTCTACCAGCAGTATATGATGTTTTCTGATTCTCTACATCCTTACCAACACTTGTTATTGTCTTTGTTATTAGAGCCATCCTTGTGGTATCTCATCGCGGTTTTGATCTGCATTTCTCTGATGGCTGATGATGTTGAGCATCTTTTTATGTGCTCATTGGCCATTTGTAGATCTTTTTTTAGAGAAATGTCTATTCATTTTAAAAACTGAGTTGTCTTATTATCAAGTTGAGAGAGTTTTTTTATGTGTTCTGTGTACAGGTCTCACATCAGATACACGGTTTCTAAATTTCTTCTACCATTCTGTAGCTGGTCTTTTCACTTTCTTGATGTTGACCCTTGAAGCTTGAAAACTTTTGATTTTGTTGAAGTCTACTTTATCTTCCTTTTCTTTTATTGCGTGTGCTTTTGGTGTCATATCTTAGAAACTTTGGCTTAATCCATAGTCATAAAGATTTATTTTTATTTTCTTCTAAGAGTTTCATTTGAGGCTGTGATCTCTTTTGAGTAATTTTTTAATATTGTGTGAGGTAGGCTTCCAGATTTATTTTGCATGTTGCTCTCGCTTGTCTCAGCACCTCCTCTTAAAAGGGTACTGAATTGAATAATCTTTGTCCCCTTGTGGAAGCTCCGTTACTGGAGTCTGAACTGTCCTCCATGACATCTATATGTCTCTCTTTTTGTCAGTACCACAGTGTCTCTAGAGTTAGTATATTTTTAAATAGCCTACAACTTCATTTAGTAGAAAACATTACGTAACGTTCTTGTACTATTAGATCACAACTTCCTGCAATCTTTAACACTTGACTCTTAAATTCCAGGTAGTTGTAAGATTAGCATTCTACGTCTTTAGGACTTCTAATCTTACTTCTGTTGGGGGCCTGAATAAGTGTGAATGTATTATTAAGTCTCTTACAAGTAACTTTCTGGTCCATAAGTGAATACTGGAAAGCAAGGAAATAGTATTAAGAATGTTTGAGAGTAAGCTTATAATTTCCTAAAGGTAAAATAGCGTTATTAGTTTACATTTATTATTTCCTATGTGTCATACACTGTCCTAAGTGCTTGTGTGATAAATCCTTTAGTGTCCTAACATCCCTTTGAAGTAGGTTCTATTCTTTGAGGCAAAGACAAGTTAAATAATTTGCCCAGAGTCACATGGCTAGTTAAAAGAAAGGCCTGGCCATCTGTGTGTTCAAGTTTCTAGTAGTGCATTGGACAGTATCTAATGCATAGTGTGTCCTACATAGTGCATAGTGTCCTGCATACCTGCATAGTGTTCTGTGAATGAATCATCAGAGCCATCCTCATGACATGCACTTGGCCTTGAACTGTGGTGGTTCACAAACATCTGTAGTCTTTCATTGAGACAGAATTAGGAGTACCCTGTGGTTTTGTTTTTTCTGTTCATTTTCCTTGACACCCATCAGCAGGATCTAATGTAGCTGTGTGCAGGTTGCTGATAGCTTTATTTGTGTAAGAATTGCTAGTAATTTGATCTGTTACAGATTAATGGTACGAGGTTTGGAGGTGAGTAGACTATCTGGTTTGAATCTTGCCTTTACAAAACCATAAGTATGACATTGAAACATGTTATCTGCTTCTCTGAAGCTGAAATGGAATTATTGTAGAACAGATTTCATAGTGTTCTTACGAGAATTAAATGAGATGCTACCTGTAGTGTTTAACATAGTACATGACCCACAGTGTCTATTCAGTAAATATTAATTCCTATTAGCAAAGTAAAGATGATTGAGAATTTTACTGTCAATCAGTATTTTCTTGTTCTCTAAGTCACATGAGAATTTCAGTTTTCCCATTAAATGTTTATACTGCCCAAAGCAACCTATAGATTCAGTGTAGTCCCTGTCAAAATACCAGTGGCATTTTTCACAGAAACAGAATAAACAATCCTAAAAATTGTTTGTTACTACAATGGATTTCAAATGGCCAAAGCAATCTTGAGAAAGAAGAAGAAAGCTGGAGGCATTCCTGATTTCAAACTATGTATAAAGCTGCAGTAATAAAGAATGTTACTGATGTAAAAACAGCCATATGGGTCAGTTATAGAAATAGAGAGCCCAGAAGTAAACCCATGCATATATGGTGAACTAATTTACGACAGGAGCCAAGAATATAGAATGGGGAAGGGACAGTCTCATCCATAAATGGTATTGGGAAGACTGGACTGTCTAACACTATACCCAAAAATTAATTCAAAATAGATTAAAGACTTGAACATAAAACTCCTAGAAGAGGGGCGCCTGTTAAGCACCTGACTTCAGCTCAGGTCATGATCTCTCGGTTTCGTGGGTTTGAGACCCGTGTCGGGCTCTGTGCTGACAGCTGGGAGCCTGGAGCCTGCTTCAGATTCTGTGTTTCCCTGTCTCTCAGTCCCTCCCTGACTCATGCTCTCTCTCTGTCTCTCAAAAATAAGTGAAAACAAACAAGCCAGAAAACCTCCTAGAAGACTTCGGCATAAGCTCCTTTACATTGGCAGTGGTGGGCAGCAATATTTTTTGATTTGACATCAAAAGCAAAAGTAACGAGCAAAAATAACACACGGCAAAGGAAACCAACAAAATGAAAAGGAAACCTACTGCATGTAGGAAATATTTGCAAATCACATAACTGATACGGAATTAATATCCAGCATGCATAAAGAATTCCTACAACTCAGTAGCAAAAGAACAAGGAAACTGATTTTAAAATGGCAGAGGGTCTAAATAAACACTTTTCCAAAGAAGACACCAATAGCCAACAGGTCCATGAACAGGTGCTCACCACCAGTCACCAGGGAAGTGGGAATCAAAACCACAATGAAGTATCATACCCCTCACTCTTTTAGAATGGCTATTACCAAGAAGATAAGAAGGTAACAAATGCTGACCAAGATGTGCACCTTTTGTGGAAACATAAGTTGGTTCAGCCACTAAGGAAACAGTTTAGAAGTTCTTCAAAAATAAAAATTAAAAATAGAACTACCATATGATCTAGCAATTTCACTTCTGGGTAATTATACAAGGAAATGAAAATACTAGCTGAAAAAGATAGCTGCGCCCCCATGTTCATTGCAGCATTATTTACCATAGTCAAGACATGGAAGCAACCTAGGTGTCCATCAGTGGATGCACGGATAAAGAAAATTGTGTGTGTATATATGTAAGGACACACAGATACACATGTATTTTTATATAACATATCCACAAATGTGCACATGCACACACGTTATGTAACAGAGTATTCAGCCATAAAAAGGAAAGAGATCCTGTCATTTGCCATGACCATGGGTGGACCTTGAGGGCATTATGCTAAGTGAAATGTCAGACAAAGACAAATAATTGCATAATCTCACTTGTGTGTAAAATCATAAAGAAAGAAAAGAAAAAAAACTCATACAGGTTGATGGTTGCCATAGGCCAGGGGGCAGTGAAATGGGGAAGGGGGTCAAAAGGTACAAACGTCCAGTTATAAAATAACAGTAACATCAGGAGATGTAATGTTCAGTATGGTGACTACAGTCAGTAATACTGTATTGTATTTGATTTTTTTTTTTTTTCAACGTTTATT